CCATGGATGGTCTACATGGTTTGGTTGTGGAAATAAATAGTGTTTCTATATCCTAGCGGTATGATATGAAAGAAAGTGGCTCCGCGTCTGTAATCAATCCAGTTGACTCTGTACACTGTCAAAGGTACTTTTCTCCGCGTGCACGCTTATTTGCACTTTCCGAAGGGCTGGTTGGCCAATTGCTATTGCAGAACTGAATTAGCACATTTCTGTCCAGGGCTTGCTTTCGCAGTTATATTCAGGATCATACCACGCAGAGCTTGGATTCACAGTTACCCAAGCTTCCGTCCTGCTTGCACTGCCCTCCAGAGGGGATCTATTATGGAATTAGCTGGGTGGAATGGGATATGATAGGTATGAAATGATTCATACCGAGCCAGCGATGGAAAGGCCAACAAAGGCGAGAGTAGTGAGGATGGTGAAACGCATGATGATAAGTGGATTTAGAGATTTAAGGAGGATTGTTGGAGAGTTGTCTGTTGTAAATTATCAATCCAAGGACATGGGAGGATATACTTATACCTATTTCTCGGGAAATATATACAACCGAGATCTTCTGATCGATTGCTTTGTTTGGTGTTGATATTCATACCGATTAATTATAGACGGTCAAATGGAAATTTATGGGGCTGCAGAAAGTTGATGTCGATCATGAACAGGGTTGAACATGTGAATTGCTGTTCTTGGTTTTTCATCATCGACGTTTTTCCTCCTATGAGAACAACACTTCACTAGGTAGACAAGCGGATTCCTTTTCTTGATGTGATTTTCTTATTGTTTTATTGTATTGGAATTGAGATCTTATGCTATATGTACTACATTCATGTGAACAGGTAAACAGGCCCATGACATAATCACAATATCAAGCCCTAGAGCGATTAGCATATCCAAAGTACATATATATATAAAGTACTCCCCATATATTGTACATTTTTATATGAACGTTGTCTTATAGTTTCTAGAAAAGCCATTTGGGGTAACTAATAATAGCGCCACTACAGTATATCCGATGCACGGGCTATATCCGGTTTATATCCGATGCACGGACCTCGGTGAACGGAGGTTAAGTTCGGCGAACGGAGGTTAAGACTTCCGCGAAGCATAGGGCTGTGGCTGTACCCTGTCTAGTCAGAACCTTGGGATTCTGTGAATGTGGAGTGTGGTGTATTGCATATACCATCTACACCAATCTGCAAGTGATTTAGTAACAAAAACACAGTATGCGGGTGTAATAAAACGCCAACTTTACTAGTGTGAAGATACATGCAGGTTCCACATTGACAGAATTTTGACTGGGGAGGGTACATACATCCGGTGCCAAGGCACTATATACCCTTGTCAAACGAACCCCGTCAGGGGCTTAGCACAGTTATTGTACGTATACACACATAAAAAATATAAAAATAGCATTAAGAATAGTTTAAACCTGAAAATAAAGAACTGATCAGAGCGTACCTGTCCAACCAGAACGAGTCTTCAGCAGCAGAGCCCCCTTTAAGCCCCATACGGAAATAAACCAAGTGGGACCATCTAGAATATCAAGTTCGACACGTTCTATGGTTCTTTACTAGGTTAGTTAAGCGGAAGTTAGCAATCTATTAGGCATTTAGAGATTAATTTAGAGGCTTATGCTTCAGTATATATTGTTCCCTCGACTGGGAGAAGATACAGAATGGCAACCACACTCTTTTTTTTTGTACGCTTCGATATCCCAAGCTACTCTTACTGTCTTTTCGCCTTGTCTCTTTGGCAATCACATTCTTTTTCATATCTTATGCTTCTTCAATATCCTACCACCCTTGCTTTCTACCAGAATGTCATCAGGGCCAGCAGTTAAAGATCATTCTAGTCCTCTTCCAGTGGTACGGGGCTCCTATGATTGTTACAATGCGAAGTATGCTAATCGCTTCATACCCTACTCCAGTGTGACTCGTGTTTCTCTCGAAAGGTATGAATCAAATTTCCTATAAAATTATCAGTTTCACTAACCAAGCATAGGTCCGTTGTGACAGAGGCGATCCATGTGGTAACTGCCAGGATAACGATACCACATGCAATCGTCAGCGCGTCAGGAAGCGAACCAAAAACAACAGTCAGCTGGCGGTGGTGAAAAACAGAAGTCGGACGCGTCCAAAATCACCCCAAGTAACTTCAACCCCTCAAGATCCGGCAATTTCGCCACCGGGACCGTCCAATTATTCTTCAACTACGTCCAACACGTATCCCAGGCTAGACTATCAACAGTCTCATGGCGAATCTCCGGGCTCCGATAAACCTCTCTCGCTTCATTATGCCCATGCCACGATTCAGTACCAACTAGACAATCTGAAATGGCCCGCCATCAATCGCCGTCAGATCTTGGAATCGGGATTGAGGCTGGCTTCTCAACTCTCGGAAAATTTTGAGGATCCCGTACAAGCTGTCAGTGACATCACTGCCAACGAAGAGCAAATAAGAACACCTTCGTTTGAATTATTAACCTGGATGTTAAAAGGTACATTTTTGATTACTTGGTGCTCAATAAGACTGGCTGATTCTAATATCTTCCAATAGACATGAAGGAGGAAACCCTCGGTTCCTTTGTTAGGGATTACTTCAGACACATATCTGAAGAAACCCTCAAGCAAATGGGACTCAATCTCCTTCATAGGACCGGATCGCCTCACGACCTGCTCATCAGCACTGTTTGCGTCGATTCCATGGCCTCTAGGTTTCTGACTGCCATCACCGCGACTGGGATCGACAGTGAACTTATCCACGAAATGACACATAACGTAGTGCAATTCCAGGCGGCAGCAAAAGTAGCTCTTCGGAGTATCTCTCTCTTAACGAGTCCTTCGCTCGCACTCTTACAGGCTCTTATTTCTGGTGTGAGTATTTGCAATCCTTGGAAGAAGGTATTGGATCTAATGAAAACCAGATATTCCTCCATCAGGGATCCGGCGACATCAATGTATGCTGGGAACTTACCAAAGCTGCATGCAGGGTATGTATGGGTCTGGGTCTTGACACTATCATGAAGACAGGAGGTACTGTGAGTGAAGAACAGTATTACTGTGTCGCTTGGTGCTATATTCTGGATCAGAATTTTGCGTTCAAAATGGGAAGATCCAAGCCTTTACTTGATATTGAACTTGGACACTTCATTTCCGACCTATCCGACCATCAGCATCCCACCTCGGATCTCTTTCAAATTCACGTGAGTCTTGCCAGAATACAGGCTGCCCTCGTGCCATACCTTAGGGGACAGTCATCGTTTTTGACAGGTGGTCTATCATCTTCCCACGGAATTGGGAAACTTTGGTTGGTGAATATGCAACAAATTCAAGAGAGGATTGAGCATGTGAGGAACTTACCTTAGACCTATTTTTACTTACACCACTGACCTGTTACCTAGATTTCGAGTCCATACCTCGCCTGGAGAGGACTGGATGCTCAATCTGAAATATCAGCTCTCCAATTTGCCTATCACTCGATTATGACCACCATCTTCCATATCACTGAGGGTGCAGGAGACCAGTCTATCGATATACGCAAACAGTGTTTGTTAGAAGCCCACCAGGGTATATCTTCACTGGTTTCGATATTTATATCTGCCGAAAGACAAAACAATGTGGCCTTGCTGCACTGGTAAGCTATGTTCTTCACATGAAAATTAGATGAGTTCTGACGAGGTATCTAGGACACTTCTCGTCTACCCCATCACCGCATACTTCGTTCTGTTCCGCAATGTCATTGCAACATTAGATACCGATGACTTCAAACTCATGACCACGATTACCGATTGCTTGACCCGCATTGAAACAACAAGCCGTCCAATTATTCAAGTACGAACGATCTTCCAGCAATTTTTATCGCTCGCCGGAGAAGTTTTCGACGATCAGTCAAATGCAACGGTTTCAAGTCAAGATCATCAATTACAGTCTCAGTCAACTACATTGCAACCTTGGATGCCAGACGACCTATTTCTACCTTCGACGGCCGACGCCGTTTCTCCTTTCTCCCCGTCTTTACTGGCTGGGATGGAGGATTTTTCTGAGATACCCTTTTTTCCGGAGAATGAGATGTTTATACCCTTTGGCGATCATTTTTCTGATTTCGGAAATGATCCTAGCATTTGATTCGCCCACAATTTCAACTTTCTCGGGCATATGTTCTTGAATATAGTTGGTACATTGGAATACGATGTTCGTTTTTCTGTTTGATAACCCAAATACGCATTAATATACGAAGTAAAATTGCAGATTCCGTTCCGGGCATAGCCTCTAGGCTAGATGAAGTGGTTACACCCACAGCGAAATCCCACGCAATGAACATACCACATGCAATACCGAACCAAATCGGAGCCCATTGGACTCTAAACATCGGCCAACGAGTGAAAATGATGTAATTAATTTATTCGGCGCTCCAACTCGTTGAAGTTGGGAAGAAAATACACAGCCAGTTTCCATCGGGTATCTGTGCCGACTATAAATAACCCAGGTTCCAACTTCGGCGCATAAAAGTTGACTTACCTTATTAGGAAGAAGACACATATTTTATATCACCTCTACAGCACTATATTCTCCATTAGGGGGGCTTCGTTTTAAGACATCTTTATTAGGGCCTCGTTAGGAGTATGAATTTGTGGAAATTACCTGGTGACTCTAATTACTATTTAATAGGTTCAGGTCCCTCTGCGCCCAAATGTTTCGGATGTCCCCGAACTATTAGCCCTAAATAACCGCCACTAAACAACATGTCTCAAACTCTCGGAATCCAGATACATAATAGGCAGAACTTTTTAAATGATAGAATAACCCGATAATAGCGCAATAATATATACCTATAATATTAAAATACCTCCAATTCCTGTTCCCCTCTCTTTAGGTCTGTCATACTGTCTTTTCCGAGAACTGCCTGTCACTACTCTTAGTTGTTAACCTCGACTCTTTCTTCCATTCATTCTTTTCATATCGTATCATACATATTTCCATTCTTATACCAATCTGATATCTCAAATGCTGGGCTATTTGAAGTATGCCGCTGCAGGCTTGGCCGCTGCGACTCTGGTCTCAGGTCAAACGTACACCGACTGCAATCCAATGAAAAGTATATACCATACTCAACAAATCCAAAATAAACACCCTCTGATATATTATAGAAACTTGCCCGGCCAATCCTGGAACAACCGAGTCGAGACACACTTTTGACTTCACCCAGAGCTCGGGTCTAGATAAGTGGACTACTACCGCCGGCAACGTCAAGACCGGCTCAAACGGCGCCGAGTTCACTGTCAACAAGAAGGGCGATGCCCCCACCATCAAGACAGACTTCTACATCTTCTTCGGTGAAGTCTCCGTCACCATGAAAGCAGCCCCTGGCACTGGCATCGTCAGCAGCATCGTGCTCGAGTCGGATGATCTTGACGAGATCGACTGGGTAAATAGCATATTCCCTCCCTCCTCCAATTCATTCATATATCTAACCTCAATACCTATATCAGGAAGCCGTTGGCGGTGACACAACCCAAATCGAATCAAACTACTTCGGAAAGGGAGATACCACGACCTACGACCGCGCAATCTGGCACCCTATCTCGACACCCCAGGCAACATTCCAAACCTACAAGGTTACCTGGACCAAAGAAGCCATCACCTGGTCTGTTGACGGAAAGGTCCTCCGCACTCTATCCTTCAACGATGCCAAATCCGGAACCAGATACCCCCAGACCCCCATGAACGTGCGTATCGGTATCTGGGCCGGTGGCGACCCAAGTAATGCGAAGGGCACGATCGAATGGGCCGGTGGTGAGACTGATTACAGCAAGGCTCCTTTCACGATGTATATCAAGGACGTTACTATTGTCAACTACAACCCGGCCGAGTCTTACACCTGGTCTGACCAGACTGGTTCTTATGAGAGTATCAAGTTCACGGGTTCTGTTAACTCGACTTCCGAGACTAACTCGACTTCTTCGACTTCTTCGACCAAGTCGACTGCTTCGACTGTCTCGACTACATCGAATACGACTTCGGCTACTACTTCCGGGTAAGTTTCCATATCCTGCTTATCTGTTGGCGCTGTGTCTAACTGTCCGGATCTTACTAGAAGTCTTATCTCTGCTACCAACACTGCCACGCCGTCTAGCTCTGCCTCCGGTTCTGGCTCTAACTCCGGCTCCAGCTCCGAATCTGGCTCAGTGTCTTCTAGTTCCAGCTCCCCCTCTGCTTCTCCCGTTTTTAACGCAGCTTCGAACTTGGGCGCTGGTAGCTTGGGTTTCTTGTCTGTCCTTGCGGCTTTCTCCGGGTTTCTTTTCCTGTAGATTAGTTACTTGATATTGGATTTTATCTATATATTAGCTGTCAATGGCAGTTGATAGATGGACTTCTTTGATTGGAATGATGTATCTCTATTAGATTAAGTGTAGACAAACGGAATTTCTTACCATTCCTAATTAAGAAAGTCCACGGGTCTTTCGAGTCACGTCACGTAACTCGGTGCTTTCCTCCCATCTCTCTCGCTCCTTCCCTCCTTCCCTCCTTCCACTTCTCCTTCCACTTCTTTTTCCACTTCTTTTTCCACTTCTTATCCCCCTTCGTGTCACCATCTTCCTCTTTTCTCCTCTTCGTCTCCACGGCCTTTCATACTACATTCCCTGGTCTATCTCTCTGGAAGACTTTTGCGAAAAAGTTGACAGGGAGTCGCCGTATGTCTATTCGAGATGTCCCAGAAATATATGACTGCATTATTTGATGCTGACCTAGATATAGTCAGCGCCAGACTCCGCACAACAATGGCTAGAGCCTAAATCGTCATAGCAGCAGCAATGTTGAAGCAACGAGCATGAAAACGAGAGGATCAACAAACCCAAACTATAGCACTTGTTTCCCTTGTTCTTTTTCTTATGCGTGTCCCATTTGAACCGATTTGAGATGTGTCTGTTCCCATTTCTTCTGGGCGATCTCTACGAAGAAGAAAAGTCCAGGCAAATTTCCGAAATCCGACCTTAACCTCACATATCATATCTTAAGGTCCTAATTGTCCGGACAAAGCTATGTATCACCGATTATCTCGGCCCAACTCCGGCAAAAGGTTACGGATACCTGCCCTCAGCGATCGGTTCGGTTCGCCTGCCTCATTTCCAAACCCCGCCAGTGTTGTCGGACCAAATACAGGGATGTTCCCAACTTGGACCTCTAGTACGATAAGTTACGCAAAATGTCCAAACCGATACAGAGACGTCGTACCCTCCCTCGATCACATCAAAGGAATTTCATGGAATGAATCAGAAAAGGGATTGAAAGACTTGAGGATGCAAAGCTTGACCCAGGGCGACATCTCAACCCACAGTGGCATCAGAGCTAAATACACCAATTTCCGACTCCCGAGAAAGGAAACACCGCGCTATTCTCCGATTCTACGTCGAATATAGCGATGATAAATCTCGTCATTTGCGTAATGTAAACCTCCACGAAGCATTTGATGTGTTAGCCTTGACTTTATGGTCAAGGGGGAGACCCTTTTCCTCCAGTTATTTCTCAGCCAGTCAAATGGCTCGAGGGAGTTGATTTTCTATGTGACAGAACTCGCCCCATCACCTTGTCAATCCCTCCCATAACTTCGGCTCTCTCATCTCGTGACAACGGCACGTCTGTCGAGCCACAGGCAGATTACCAGGTCCCCAAGCTCTACTCTCGGTCCTTCTTTTGATCTTGATGAGGAAATTCACATTACCAGTTGGCTCTTCTATGACCGGCCCACACGACTTTCTAGCTGAATACAATGTCGGAAGCTGCACAGCGGAGCTTATAGATGCCGAGGTCGTGTCCCACGCGAAAGATGCCATGAAGGGGAGAAGAAGATGAAATGAGGAGCTTGTGTTTTGATATGATCATCTTGTTCTAACCATCTACCCCGGAACCGGCCAAGCTGGCGATTCTCTTCACCCTACTCACCAACATCATGGAATCGGCCGGGATGGTGGATCCCTCTTCACCCTTCCCTAAACGCAGGCCGTCACAACCGGCCGATCATATACATAATATCCGTTTGCCCTGGAACTAGCCTGGGAGCAGATGTTACCATGAGGGATATTTTGGTGCTGTTGGTTTTGTTTTGGATTGTCTTCTGCTTTTAACATGTATCTGTACTCATAGTCCCTGCGGGCATCGTTGTTTTTGTTGCTTTGATTTGATATCATGATGGAAATTTCCATTTCCTGAATTTCCCTCTCGGTGTCCATTCTTATGTCTAGAAGTGAAAGGTCATTTGCGATCTGCCGGGACACTCTCGTGCTAGCAAAGCACTCTACTCTGAAAAATCCTGAAGGATAAGACTAACTCTAATATCAAAGCTTCGTCAAGCTAGTATACCAAAGATAACCATTATTTATCCCAGTTTTCAAATTAAATCCTACGATGTCATCCGTGAACGGGTATCTAAAGTGGATATCTGATAGCTTTTATATGTAGTTTTTTTTTATTTAATAGACCGTAGCCACGATTATAATAAGTATCTAACTACCTCCACAGATAGTCGAACCAAAAAGAAATAGGAAAAAGAAAAGAGGGAAAAGTGATGTAGAGCACATGTACAAGTGCGAGAGCCAGGCGATGCAGAGAAAGGGAAAGATGCATGGGTGTTGTTGTGTACAAGGCCGTAGCCGTAGGGAAAAGAAGGTAGTAGTGATTGTACCACGAAAAGAAAGATCCGGGGACAGAAATGCACATATCCAAGGATACAAGTTCTGAGTCCAACTGAGACTAGAACTTATATTCCCCAGCCCATAATTATTTTTCAAATCATCATCACCAACCAAAGATCTCACCAACACTGAGAGTACTCCAGCGCACACCGCCGACGGCAACGACCATCAAGACAACATCGATAACAGCTAGTACCGCCGAGCCCATCATGAAACGAGGGCTGAAGATGCGGTAAAGCATGAGATGGCGACGGAGATGGCCGGCCCACATCGTTGTGGCGAGATTAATGGTCGCCAGGTAGAGGATATGTGTTCCAGCGGCCTGTACGACATCGGAGAGGATGCGTGTGGCTGGGTTCTTGTTTGGGTTTGAAGCTGGAACACGATCGTGGGTCTGGAGGGGGCGTTTCCAGAGGACTGTGAGGGGGACAGCGATGGCGGCTAGGATCTGTGCGCCGAAGGTATTGAGGATGACGAGTAGTGGGGACCAGGGGTATTGGATTGATGTGAGGGGGATGAAGGCTGTTTCCCACTGGATGCTGGAGAGGGTGGCCTGGTGGCCTGTTTTGAAGTAGTAGAAAGAACCCAGGACGCCGAGGATGACGGGGCCGATGGAGGAGTTTGATAATGTTAGGTTGTTTGTGTCGAGGATTTCGAGGAGAGAGAGGATTTGCCAGAGGAGGAGGGCGATGGCGCCTTGGCCCATTGGCTTCTGCATGAGGATGATGGCGAGGGCGAAGTTGATGAGTAGGAAGCAGAAGTGGGTTCCGTAGACGTTACCGAAGCCGAGGATTGTGACTGTTGTTCGTGGGCCTTGTTGCTGGCCGGCGACTATAGGGGCAGGCGGGCTGTTGGGATCTTCGGTGGGTTTGCTCACGTTGATGCTGACGCAGGGCTTGGAGTAGAAGAATGCTGCTGTGCCTGCTGCGAACGAGAGGGCGAGAACGAACTGGGCTAGGAAGACCCGGATGAACTTGAGCGTTTCCTTGCTTACGGGTAGCCACTCGCCGTCATCCGCACCTTCGAGGATCCAGAATAGGGAGGTGACGAAGAGACCGAAGCGGAAGGCAGATCCGATCCATAGTGATGCGGCGCCTTCATAGGACTTGGAGCCGGCATAGAAGGACCGTACAACGCTAGGCAGGAAGAGCGTGACCAGGAAAGGAATGGCAAGTTGCCAGGGGGCGGAGGTGGAGGAAGTCGATGAAGCATAGTATGTGGAGCGGCAGAAGGGCATCTGTTCTTCACGGCAGAGGCGCGAGAAAGACGCGATTCGACCCAGGATCACGAAGAGAATAGAGTGGTATACACCCAAGACCCGGTCCGTGGTCTGCTTCTGCCGCATGGACGAGATACCCGCGCACACGCCGAATGTAGTGAGGAAGAACAGAAGAATTTCGTCTTCCCAGATTGTGTATGAGTTCGAGGCAAATCCAATAGACTGAGAAACGGTAAAGAAAAGCGCAAGCCATCCCCACATACCGTTCGGAAGAGGAAGGTTCAGGTTCGCAGGCTTCTTCATGAGAGCCGGCGTGGCTCCAAGGATGCTTCCAGCAGCAGCCAGTAGCACAGCTCCATCGACTATAGAAATCTCGGACAAACCAGTCAACCCCAATACCGAACCGGCCACGGCACCAACACCAGCACCCACACTTGCGAATTGAAGCAGACGAGACGTGAGTTGCGTTCGGTCTGTCTTCAAGCCTCGGGCGTAGATGATCAACAATACAATACTAGTAAAGAGAATCACAACACCTTGGATCATACTTGGCACATCGAATCGAGCCCACAATCCACGGCAAATATCAAGAGTGTGACGCTGGTACTTTCGGTAGAGTTCATTGCTAGCGCGAGCAGCGGTCGACTTGGACGAGAAGCCCTTAGAAGCAGACTTCCACTCCTCTTCCGCAGCAGTCCAAAGCAAATCCAATTCTTCATCATCACCAGCCCCTCTAGCAAGAGCATATTGGTGCTGATATCTCTTGACCTGGGCTGCAGTCAACCGGTTGACAGTCGCTAGGTTTGCCCAATTGTTCCCACGTGGGCCAGAGAAGACCTCTTCGATGGGCGAGCCTAGGTTATTGAACGGGATAGGCATTCCAAGGAGCAAAGACAGAGTCGGAACGAGGTCGATCTGAGGAACGAATCTGTCGCGCGCGAATTGAGGCGGGAGAAGCGTATCCTTGCTTGTGCGTCCGAAGATGCCACGCTTAGAGTACATCCACAACGCGGCCTCAACCTCGTCATCAGACTCGCCACCGTGGTCGCCCTTGATGTCCATCCCATGGTCTCCCATGACGACCAGAAGGGTCTTATCGTCGAGCGCAGCAATGATGTCGCGAATGACACGGTCCATTTCCTGAAGTTTGGATGCCATGGCAGCATGGTTAGGACCATATCTATGACCTGCATGATCTACGCCAAGATAATGACCAAAGATAACATCCCATTTCTTGCTGTTCTCCGGTCGGAGGAGCGGGAAGAGATGCTCATTGACGCCATTGTCGACGGTGTGCAAGTCCCAGACGTTGAACGAGTCATATGCATGCGTGAGATTGGTATCAAAGTAACCCGGGAACAACGATTGCCAGGTATCATCGCCGAGGTGAACCAGGTTC